CCTAACGGGAAGGCAGTGAAGTGCACCAGGTGGAATGAGCCCACAGCACCAAGGTGAACTGAAAAGGGACTATTAGCAGATATTCACTAATTCGTAGATGAAATGCAGGTAAGAGTACACAACGCAGAACACAGATGTAGGGGGCACTTCTGGGAAAGTGAGGCAGGCCACAAGTGGGAGGACTAACGTAGAGGACAGCTTTGCTCCTCACCATGCCTAGCACACAACGGCTTAACTGCAAAGAACAGCTCACCCCAGTCAACTATGAAGAGGTCCCGACCTGTTCTCCAGACCAGAAGAGAGGAGGAGGAGGTACCTGACCAACAGCAGCAGTAAATCAGTCCTTCACTTCCAACCGCAGACAATCAGGATCACGGGACAAAAATCAGCAACAAGAAAAAGACCACAGGCCAGTGCTGGGGGCAGCAGGTTAAGCTGCCACTTGCCAACACTGGCATCCCATCCTGGACTGCTGATGCGAGTCCATCCAGCGTCCTGTTCATGTGACAGTGAAGGCAGCAGTAGATGGCCCACGTGCTGGGCCAGCCCATGTGCGAGAGCAGGATGAAGCTTCTGGTTCCTGCTGCAGCATATCCCAGCCCAGCCCATGCAGCTACGTGGGGGTGAACCACATAAATAAATGTTAAAAAAAAAAAGAGAGAAACTCTAAAAATCACCTTTAGATTAGAAATATCACATGCTTAAAATACAAGCTGAATAAAGGAAATGCCTATGCAAAAAGATTTTGTGGAATTAAAAGCATGATTTCACAGCTCAACTTTAAAACTGTAACTTCCAATTACCAGTAGTGGGGCAGGCATTTAGCCTCATGGTTAAGACACACATTAGGGTGCACATATCCTTTTCTGAGTTCAATCCTGGCTCCAACTCCTGACTCAGCCTCCTGCTACTGCAAACCTTGGCAGACAGTGGTAATGGCTCAAGTCACTGGGCTTCTGCCACCCACATCAAAGACCTGGATTGTGTTCTCAGCTCCTGGCTGCAGCACGGCCCTGTGCCCGATGCTACAGGCGTCTGGGGAGTAAACCGGCATACGAACACACGCTTGCTCTTTCTGTCTCTCACTGTCTCCTGAGTAAATAAATAAAACATCCACAACTAGACCTATGAGAAAACCAAGATGGAAGAAAATTCCTAAAAGCTTTCAGGGAGGAAAAATACAGCAATCACCAACAAAGTAAAACAATACACTGCATTTTACATTAACAATGGATGGCAGAAGACAACGTAACAAAATGGTATCTTCAAGTTCTGAGGAAAACATTTAAAGCAGTGTTTTATACCAAGCCCAACTATCAATCAAGCCGGAAACAAAGCTATTCTCACACACAGGACTGAGAAATTTTACCTCCATCCTTTCTTAGCTACTTCAAGATGTTCTCCTACAAAATGAAGGAAGAAACCAAGGAAAGAAAAATATGTGATGTGAGAGGAAACTGGCTTGTAGCATATTTTAAGAACAGACTGCTCCAGGACAGAAAGCACGCTACATGTCACAGATACCATGATTAAATATCTTCAGAAAGTTTACAGATATGCTGAAAGCAAATTTTTTCCCTTAGTGAACAGGAAAAGAAAGGCTTTTTAGGAACCAAATGTACTAATATAAGGCAAATTAAACGTGGTGCGTTTTGAGGAAGCAGTGCTATGGTCATTCCGTGGTATTCTCAGGGAACGGTTCTCAGGGCCCCATTACTCAAGGTATTTATATAACATGGTATATTTGCTTATAACCTATACACATCCTCCTGTATACTTTAACTCATATCTAAGGGCAGGCATTTGGTACTTAAAAGCAAGTATTTGGATTAGCACTTAAGTCGCAGCTTGGGGCAATGACACCCCTTATCAAAGTACTCGGATGGAGTGCTGGTTATAATACTTGCCATCTTACTTCCTGCTAATGCACATCTAAGAAGGTAGCAGGTGACCCCTGACACTCACGTGTGAGACCTGGACTGAGTTCTAGGGTCCTGCTTCGGCCTGGTCCAGGCCTGGCTGTTGTGGGCATTTGGGGAGTAGACCAGAAACTAAAAGATAGGGGCCGGCACTGTGGCGTAGTGGGTAAAGCCACCGCCTGCAGTGCCAGCATCCCATATGGGCTCCGGTTCTAGTCCTGGCTGCTCCTCTTCCGATCCAGCTCTCTGCTATGGCCTGGGAAAGCAACAGAAGATGGCCCAAGTCCTTGGGCCCCTGCACCCACGTTGGGAGACCTGGAAGAAGCTTCTGGCTCCTGCTTCGGATTGGCACATCTCCGGCCACTGAGGCCAATTGGGGAGTGAACCAGTGGATGGAAGATCTCTCTGTCTCTGCCTCTCCTCTCTCTGTGTAACTCTGACTTTCAAATAAATAACTAAATCTTTAAAAAGAAATTTTCATCCAGTCTGAAAATACTAAAAAAAAGAGAAGAAACTAAAAGATAACTTTCTGCCTTTCTTTTCTTTTTTTAAGATTTATTTATTTATTTGAAGGGCAAAGAACCGAGTAAAAAGAAATAGAGAGAACCAGATCTTCCATCCTCTAGTTCACTCCCCAAAAGGCCAACAGCCGGAGCTGAACCAATACAAAGCCTGGAGCGAGGAGTTTCATTCGGGTCTTTCACATGGGTGCAGGGGCCCAAGCACTTAGGCCACCCTCTGCTGCTTTCCTAGCTGCATTAGCCGGGAGCTGAATGGGAAAGGAGCAGCCTGGACTTGAACCTGGGCCAATAGAATGCCAGCGGCTTTACCTGCTACGCCAGGGCACCGGCCCCTCTGGCTGCCTTTCAAATCAAATGATAAAGTCTAAATTACTTATGATATCTAAAAGAATGTAAATGCTAGGTAAATAGTTGTTATACAAGGAATAATGACAAAGAAAAAAGTCTACTTATATGTGGTGGAGGTGCAGCAGTTACAGGTCCAACAGCATTTCCCACCGACAGTGGGCTGAATCAGCTGACAGAACCCACAGACGTGGAGGGGACCACACACACAGCAGGGCAGCACACACCCAAGAAAAACTCGCAGAACACTGCCGGATACCTCGGAGAATATTATTTTCGCTTGTCAACACCTTAATCATCCCTTTCAGCCCGCATCACTTTCATTCCTCTAAAAAGTGGCATAACCCAATCATATCATACACACTGTTCCACTGGTCCAAAACATTCTTCCCACTCGTGCACTCTGCTAAAAAAGCAAGCATTTTACCATTCGCGACATTTACAACTCCTGTCAGCCAGGTGGCAGCCTTGGAACTAAGTGCAAAGTCCTCAGCGGCCCTGGCGGAGAGCTTACACAGAGGCCTCCCATCAGAACCTACACACCCCTTGCCATGCTTCGTATCTGCTTGTGAGCCACCTCCACATTGCAGTACCAGCAACACGGGTACCAGCTTGCTCTTGTAATCTCTGTATCCTCTGCACCGTGAAGTCCCTGCGAACCCACCTCATGCCACACGCTGGCATTTGGTACAGACGTTGGATGGCAAGGATCCTACACAGCTGGCCTGGATTCTCCCCCAACGCTTGGTGTTATGCACACCTAATCTAAATCTTACAGGCAGTATAGCATCTAACATCTGAGGAAATGCAGTAACAAAAAATCTGAAGGAAGATGGAGCTCATGGTTTGAGTGACCTGACCCACATTTCAAAAGATCATCCCAAGGAATGGGAAAGCCAAGGCACAGAAACATAAGCTTAGGAGTACTTTCGAGTTACGTAACAAAATACCCAAATAAGAACAAAAAGAAATGTGATTGCTCCTGCAACGTATCAGCTCCCCTTCTGCTACAGTCCACACTGTAATTTTTTACCATAAACACGTCCTTTTTGTATGAGCCACTTTTAAAATATCTGATTAAAACGGGGAGATAGAAATACACAGTCACACAGACTGAGACAGGGACATTCTTCTGGGTACACAGAGAGGACAGACAGGGACAAACGGAGTCAAAGTCGGAACCAGGCACCTCCAGAGACCTCGACTGGCAGTGGCCATGGGCCGGGAACTCAGAACACACACGTGGCAAACCTCTAAAGCGTGGCATCAGCACTTGTTGCCTGCTGACAACAAGCAACGTCACTTTGCTCACGGGAAAGTCAAGGTAAAGTCGGCAGCACGGTCAAGTTCGCCCCCGGGTCTCACGCTGAGCACTCGGAGGCCCTCAGCACGCATCCCAAGCTCTCCGTCGCCCAAACACCAGCTGCCCAGCCCGCTTCCACGGACCCTGGCCTGTCCCCCCCGGGAGGGACAGTGCACCCCTCTCTACCTGAAAAAACCGCCCGCACCACGGGCAGGCAAGCGCCAGCGGGGGCGGCTGCAGCCTGCAGGGCGGGGGCCTCCGCTCGCACGGCGACGACCGTGACAGGCGCAAACCCAGCAAGTCCCGTGCGCAGGGGCACCCGGGGGAAACCCAACTCGCCGCCAGCCGGCAGCAGGCGCGCGCGCAGAACCCGCCCTTCCCGCTCCGTGCGAGGCAGGCGCAGAAGGAGCGCAGAAATGTCACCGGGCCAAGACCGAGCGCGCCAAAGCGGGACCCACCCCCGCGGCGCCTCCCCTTCCTCCCTCCGCCCGCGCCGAGCTCATTCATTCTCCGGGCGGCCAGCCCGTCCTCCCCGGCCGGCCGCCGCGCACCTCAACCCCGCCAGACGCTTTGTCTCGGGCCGGCCGGAAACGGGCGCGCACGCGAGCGCGCGCCCGGGTGTCAGCTCCCCGCACGCGGGGCCGCCTCCCGCGGCCACGCCAGGGTCCGAGGTCCGGAGCCGGGAGCGCCTCGCCGGCAGCCCCAGGCGCGCCGTGCGCCCCGCCCTGCGGGGTATCCGGGACCTGGAGACGCGCACCGCGGCCCCGCCGCGAGCCGCCCTCTGCGATCCCAGCGCGGATCGGAGGCGAAGGCGTGCTCTCCCCTCTCCCGAGACGCAGGCACGGGGGGCCCCCACTGTCCCCCCACCCCCACCCCGCAGCTCCCGCCCCGCCGGCCGCCCGGCGCACTCACTTGAGCAGCAGCTGGTCGTGCTCGGCCTTGCACTTGCCCAGCTCGATCTGCAGCTTGGCGCGCTCGCGGGCCGTGTCGTCGAGCGCGCGGCGCGCGTCGGCCAGCTCCGTCTCGTAGAGCGCCTTGAGGCCGGTGAGCTCGCGGCCGCGCACCTCCTCGCGCTCCGTCACCTGCAGCTGCAGCGCGCTGTTCTCCGTCTCCAGGCTGCGCACCTTGTCAATGTACACAGCCAGCCGGTCGTTGAGCTCGCGCAGCTCCTCCTTCTCCTGCAGCCGCGACATCCGCGTGGGGCTCAGCGGCGTGGTGGGGGCGCCGGCGCGGCTGCCGGACCGCGGCGGCACGGGGGTCGCGGTCGCCATGGCGGGCGGGCTGGACGATCGGCGGCGAGAGCGGGGTGGCAGAGCCGCGGGGCAGCCCGGGGACCCGGAGGCGGCGGCGGCGGGGCGACGAGGCCGGGATCGAAGGCACGCGGCCGGGCGACCTGCGTTCCGCGTGCGGGGGCCGGCGCGGGGAGGCAGGGAGAAGCACCTGGGATGGCGGCGGCGGCGGCGTTACAGCACAAAGGGCACCGCGGGAGGAGGACGGTCGATCGGCTGGCCGTGGGACGCCCCGTGGAAGAGCTCGCGCGCGCACTCACACACGCGCGCGCGGGAAGACGCACAGCGAGGGTGACCAGGAGGCCGAGCAGGGTCCGCGCCGCCGCGCCGCCGCCGAGTCTCCCGCCCGCAGCACTTTGTTTCCTCTCCGGCTGCGCGCAGCGGCGGGCGGGGGAGGCGGGCGGCGAGGGGCGGGCCGTAGTGAGCCGCGGGGGGCGGAGGGGGAGCGGGCCGCGGCGGCGCTCGCCCCAACATGGCGGGCACGCGCAGGCGCTGCCACGTGACCGGCACGGGCCAATGGGGAGCGGGCAGCGCACTCCGGAGGCGCGGGGGCTGGGCCTGGAAATTCAAAATCGGGCCCTCGGGCAACCGTCGGCTCGGCGCGCGGGGTTGGGCGCGGCCGGTACTGGGCTGAGGGCTAGCGGGGAGGGGCGCCTGCGACTACCCGCTTCTCGGCCCCGCGAGGACCCCTGAGGGGCCGGCCCTGCGAGTGGCGGGAAGGAGCTAGAGGTTTCCGGGGCGGGTCAGCGCCGCCGCCCACAGCCGGCGGTTCAGGGAAATTCAAATGTAAACGTCCCCAACAGCCACAGGCGAAACTCGGAGAGGCCGGCGGGCGTCGTAATCTCACCCCGGCCCGCGGCCGCGCTCTGGAGGCGGCCAGGCCCGGAGCGCTTACGTCACGGGCGCCGGCGTCCGGGGCCCCCAGTGCGTGCGAGCCGTTCTCCGCGGAGGAGCAGGCGGTGTGTGGCCCCGAACCCGAGGCCGCGGGAGAGCACCTCAGAAAGCCGTGCCTCGCGCGCGCGCGCGCGCGGCGGATGGGTGGCCCCGGTGCCGTTGTTTCCTGGGTGTGTGAGGGGGGTTGTGAAATCAAAAACTGCTGGCGAATGAAACGACCAGATTGGGAGTGAGCGGCGCGAGCGCTCGCCACGCTTCTGCGAAGCCAGAGGCAGAAGCCCGTGGACGCGCTGAACGGACCTCTGGCTGTGACGAGGAGCCTCCCCGAGACGGGAGTGGCGGCTAATTGGAGAGGAAAGTTAACGTGCAGGCTGGCGTTTGCTGGGACGTGCAGGCTGCCCAGAGCGCTCGCCGCCGCCCCGGGGTGTGGGCTCCGGGTTTAACCTCGGAGCTGTCGCGCGCGCACCCCCGGGCCCCGTGCATCGCCCACAGCCTGGCCGGCGGCAGCTGTGGGCTTGGATGATTGCGGCCGAGAGCGGCCCGGATCGTTCTTGAAATGTGTCGGTAGAATTAGCGGAGGGCCCCAGGCTGTCCTTGGAGCCCAGGACACATCTGGATGGCGCTTGGGCCCCCCTCCCACTGCTTGCCCGGGTTTAGCAGGAAGTTGGATAGGAGGTGGAGGAGTTGGGATTGGACCTGATGCTCACGTCGGCCGCCGGTGTTGCTCGCCCGTCAGACAATTTCTGAAATTCCCTTATTCTCAGCTTTCCCCTTGCCGAGCCCTGCGCTTGGAGTATGGTCATTTTCTGTTTCTCTTACTCTTTCGAAGGTTATCCTCTTCATTCAAATACTTTCTGAAATCCCATCAGCTCCAGAATTTTCACCAGTGAATTAGAAAGTGACATTAGTATATAAGTTTGATGAAAGTACTTGGGCATTTACTAGGATAACTGTCATTTTTGCAATACCCTGCCTTGCTTCTCCTATAAACTCTGAGCTACTTGTCAGGTCACATACCCTGATTATTGGTTGGAACATACGTTCCTGTAACCCTGCCAAAGCCTCCACATACCATGCCATTATTTGTCTCTTCCATATTCGTCCTCACACGCAATTACCTCACCATATAAGGACACCTTATTTACATTTGCCTTATTTATGTCATTTGGATCTGTAACAAAAATACTGGATATCCAAGATGTCTGGACAGAAGATGTACAGACTAGAACTGGGGGGGAGGGGGAGTTGTGGGGTAAGACACGGAAAGGGGGAGGAGAGACTGAAAGTGAGCAATAATCCACATGGGTCCCAGGAGAGGGGGGTGACAGCTGGCAGCTGAGGATATAGCACTAACAAATGGAATGGCTGGAGCTGCTATAAAATGAAAAGAGAAATTGCCAAATGGTATCTCTTGACTGTAGACACATATTTGTTGAATGATGAATGAAAAGAAATGAATACTTCAACTTCCACATAGCTGGGTTGTTTCATTTAACGTAGTTTGCAAAACTGATACCGTTTCTAGTTTTCATAAAAATGTAAATCATATTTCATGAAGGTGGAATATGCTGAATCTTTCCCAAGTCTGATTTTGATTTTTGTGTTTTACTACTAGTTTTTAAGCACTTAATATATTTGAAAGGCAGAGTTACAGAGAGAGGAAAAGATACAGAAAACATACACCGACCCGCTAATTCACTTCCAAATGGTCGCAATAGCCAGTGGCACCAAAACCAGAAACCTCAGCTCCATCTGTGTCTCCCACTTGGGTGCCAGCCCCAAGCACTTGGGCTATCCTACACTACTTTCTCAGGCCATAGCAGGGAGCTGGATCAGATTAGAAATGGATTTGTGTGTGTGTGTGTGTTTTGTGTGTGTATTTTTTTTTTCTAGATTTATTTGCTTACTTTGAAATAGCTACAATCCTCAGATGGCTGCAACAGTCAGGACTGGGCTGGTCTGGAGCTGGGAGCCAGGAGCTTCTCCAGGTCTCCCACATGAGTGGCAGGGGCCCAAACACTTGGACCATATTCTGCTGCTTTTCCCAGGCCATTAGCAGTGGGCTGGGTAGGAATAGGAGTAGCAGGCATAGGAACCGGTGTCCATATTGGATGCTGGTGTCACAGGCAACGGCTTTACCCTCTTACGCCATGTTGCGGGCCCCAGATTTCCCTGTTTTAAAATGGTTCTGGGAGTTTTTAAAGTACATTTATCATCTTCCATAGGATGGTTCTCATAGTACAGCCACCTGAGGCCTATACACTGCTCAGAATTATTTTCCAGACATGCTTGTTGAGATCTGGACATTAAGCAAAACCAGATGTGTGGAGTTGTTTTCTTTTAGCTCAGTAGTTCAATTTTACTATATCTTAGCCAAAAAGAAAAAGAATTGATATTGTTGCATTTTAATTTAATTTTATACCAAAACATGGTCAAGATACTGTCATACTCTAAGTTATTTTAGATACCTTTAATGTATTTCTAAAACTAATACGCATCTAATTTTTAATAGATTTTTTTAATATTTATTTTTTTGAAAGGCAGGGTGACAGAGAAAGAGGAAGAGAGAAAGAGTCTTAGAGATCTTCCATCTGCTGCTTCACTCCTCAAATACCTTCAACAACCAGGGCTGGGCCAGACCAAAGCCAGGACCCAGACTTCCGTTTGGGGTTTCCTATGCAGGTAACTAGGAATCAAGTATTTGAGCCATCATCTGCTACCTCCTAGATGCAGTAGCAGAAAGCTAAATCAGAACCAGAGTAGTCAGGACTCAAACCAGGCACTCCAGAATAGGACACAGGTAACCAAAGGGTGGTTCAACCTGCTGTGCCACAAATGCTCAGCTCAGGTTTTGGTTTTGGTTTTGGTTTTGGTTTTTTCAAGATTTATTTATTTGAAAAGCAGAGTTACAGAGAGAGAGAGAGGCAGTAAAAGAGAGAGAGAGCTCTTTCATCTGCTGGTTCATTCCCCAAATGGCCACAACAACTGGAACTGGGTCAATCCGAAGCAACGAGCTAGGAGCTTCCTCTGAGCTACCCCCATGGGTGCAGGAGCCCAAGGACTTGGGCCATCCTCCACTGCTTTCCCAGGCACCCTAGCAGGGAGCTGGATTGAAAGTAGCATATGGGATGCTGGCATTGAAGGCAGTGGTCAAACCCACTACGCACAGTGCCTGCACCTCCAGTTTTTGTTTTTGTTTTAAATCTTACAGAGGTATACACCTTAAACCTATAGTTGGGTCTTTGCCTTCAGAGTGATAAAAATGCAGGCTGGTGTCAAAATGTAAGGTTTACTCAGCTGATTAACCCAGCTCAAAGAGCTTTCCTGTTTTCATGATCAGTCTTTAATTTATTTATCATGATGTATGTTTATTCCTTCCCAATAACATTTTCATTTATTTAATTCTTCAGCTATAGAAGTGAGACTCGACTTTCCTAGAACATATTTTACACTAGCCTTTCCTATCTGGTGTTAGAAATTACCCTGTAAAAGCTAGTCTTCTGAGTTAATCTGAAAAAGTAAGGCTAGTTTCCAGGCCTTACAACTGAGCTCAAGATAAGCAGAGCAGGGGGAAAAAAAGAGTAAGAAAACACAGCGTTTTTGTGTAGTTGGTAGGGAAAATGAAAGAATGAATCTTCAACCAGATGTCAATGCAGTTATTTTCCTCCCAATATCACAGCTCCTGGTGCCATTCTCCCAGAACAGCATTGCCAAACTAGGGCTAAAACCATTCTCAGCTTGTAAGATTGGTTTAAGAAAAGATTAGAAAGATTTGCAAAGAGAGACCATCTTTCCATCCCTACCTCCCAACCATATATAAACCTTCTGACTGGGGAAAGAAGGGAAGTTTGAAGATGGAGGCACCGTGGGACTCTTGCTCCCTTATCCCACCACTTGGCTGAGTTGAGGGTTTTGATTGAGGACCCAACGGAAGAAACAGTTTGTGCTTCATCACAAGGCCCCCTTCACTCCATCTCGAGGCAGCAGAGCAGAAGCCACAAATGTTATCATGGATGTTTTTGAGAGGGTTTGGGGATGAGTTTAACTTCGGATCAGTAGATACTGAGTAAAGTAGGTTACTTCTGTGATACGGGTTGGTATCATCTGGCTGGTTGCAGTACTCGCGAGAACAGATATCGTCTCCCTGCCACCCTTAAAAAAGGGAATTTGGGCAGCACAAAGCCTTGGGGCTTGAACTACAACATCAGCTCCTGCAAGGTTTCCAGCGGGTCAACCCCTCAGTTCTGGACTTGCCAGCCTGTATAACCAGAAAATAAGTCTCTCCTTTGTATCTGTCATCCTGTTGGTTCCATTTCTTTAGAGATCCTTGAAAAATACACCTTCCCTAGACCCGTAAGAAGGGTGTGGAGGGGCCAGGAAGGCCAGCAGATAGGAGGAGTGTCTGGGACAGGGGAGGCACAGACTGACCTGAGCATCCTGGCCAGCACGGGGATGGCAGAACTGTTGGCGACTCAGCAGAAGCATTGTGGACAGAAAGGAAAGGGCTCCACAGGCTTGAGAGCCACTATACCCTGAGCTGGGGATCCACTTAGCCTGGCAGGACAGGAAGAGTGAAAAACACTCAAAGCCTGCAGAGTAAAGGGGTACTAGGAAGAAAACTGAAAAATCTAAGCACATGGAAATGAAAGAAGAGAATTAAACGTGACAGTCCCTTTCTGGCCTAAAACTTTCCAGAGATTTGCATACAAAAATAACACATTGAGATAAAGTCTCTTAGGATTACCATGCCTAAAGAGCCACATTCTCTTGCTCACTCCCTAATCCATGCATGTGTTGGACATTAGTTGAGCATTTACCACGTGCCAAGCAAAGATAATGAAGCTATAGGATCTCTGCTTTGAGACAAGCAAACACAAACATGAAGAAACTGTGCTTCCAAGTGCCACTGCCTAAGAAGGCATGAAGCAAGCAGTGTAGGAGCACCAGGGTGCTGGCAGGTCTCTGTGCTACAAAGATGTTGTCTGAGCAGGGTTTCTAAGAATGCCGGCCTCCAGGAACTGGTGAAGAACTTCAGCACCTGTGTAGGCCTGCAACCGGCAACCCCGGTCCCCAGGGAGACTTAGAGGGAAGCCCCAGATGCAATCCCTAATCTCCTTACGCTGCACTTTTTATTTTAAACCAGACCATGGGGAGGGTGCTTTAAACAGGAATTAGTCAAGCGGTTAGAGAAGTGGATTTTGATCAACAATCCCTTGTTTTTTCATTGTGTTACATATTATGGTAAAGAAAGGAATCGTTAGCAAAACTTTTTATTTATCTATTTGAGATGTAGAAAGACAAAAAATGCAGAGAGAGCCAAAGAGAGCTACCATCTGTGGGTTCACTCCCCAAATGCCAGCAACAGCTGGGGCTAGGCAGGGGCCGAAGCCAGCAGCTGGTAACTAACTCAGTGTAGGTCTCCCATGTTGGTGGCTGCCACTCCAAACCTAGGAGCTGGGAGGTGAACTCAGGTTCTCTGGTGTGGTTCACGTCCCAAATGGCCACAACAGGTAAGGCTGGTCCAGACCAAAGCCAGAATTGGACACAGAGGACGCAAGACTCAAACTAGCACTCTGATACAGAATGTGGGCATCCCAAGCAGCAGCTTAACCCATGAAGCCACAATACCTACCTCTGAGATGACTGTAGTCTCTGCAAAATACTTGTATTTGTGCATATTTGAATCTTCATATTGGGAACTGGGCAAGAATTATCCACAATTTGGCTACTCACGTACTTGGGATTTAATGATACCAAAAATACAAACATTCTGTTAAAGTCTGTACAGAAAAGACACTGAAATGTAAATAGAGACCTCTTTGGTTTATATTTATCTTAAGTAGAGGGGTGGCTGAGGCTTTCATATGTTGTTGATGGAAGTTTAAACTAATACAACTACTTCAGAAAATTGACAACTCCTGACAAAGTTAAAAATGCACCTGCCAGGCCAGCGCCGTGGCTCACTAGGCTAATCCTCCGCCTGGCGGCGCCAGCACACCGGGTTCTAGTCCCGGTCAGGGCACCGGATTCTGTCCCGGTTGCCCCTCTTCCAGGCCAGCTCTCTGCTGTAGCCCAGGAGTACAGTAGAGGATAGCCCAAGTGCTTGGGCCCTGCACCTGCATGGGAGACCAGGAAAAACACCTGGCTCCTGCCTTCAGATCAGCGCGATGTGCCGGCCAGCCACAGTGCGCCAGCCGCGGTAGCCATTGGAGGGTGAACCAACGGCAAAAGGAAGACCTTTCTCTCTGTCTCTCTCTCTCTCTCACTGTCCACTCTGCCTGTCAAAAAAAATTTTTTTTTAAAAAATGCACCTGCCTTGCACTGGCAGTTCCACTCCCAAGACCCATGAAAGCCATGTCAGCTAAATGACTGCACAATGGAGCAGGCATTTGTGCTAGGAACCCATGTCCCACACTGCAGTGCCAGGGTTCAATTCCAAGCTCCAGCTTCCTGTCCATGCAGACCCTAGGAGGCAGCAGTGATGACCAAAATGATTGGAGTCCCTGTGACCCTCATGAGAAATCTGGATGAAATTCCTGCCTCTCACGTTGGCCCAGCCCTGCCCCAGCCTTTGCAGGCTTTTGGGGAGTGAACCAGTGGACAGAAATTCTCTCTGCGTTTCAAATAAGTAAATAAGAAAAAGACTTGGACAGGAAGTTTATAGTAGCCTTCTTCATAGCAGCTGAAGGGTTCGGAACACAGGACTTTGGCAGATTGATTATTCTGAGCTGAAGGCACTTCTGAAACAGCAGGCCCCCACCCCCACCCCTTCTACCTAAAAACAGAGCATAAAATTTTCCATGAAAAAGTGCTATCCTTGCACCAGGAAGAGGAGAAGCGTCTTCTCACAGACACTGGACGTAATGGCCAACATGACTGTGTACAAAGCAGCGGTACTAAAGTGCTTTCCGGGTTTAGCGCCCCCAGGTATTTCCTAGGCATTGCCCCACATTTGCCTCCCCTGGAAGCTGAAGCCCCCTTTCATCTGTCTTATCTCTCCACTGATTTATTGTTCTTTGGTTAAAAGGGTATTTTTAGAAGCTCTGAATAACTGAGAGCGCATACTTTAGTTAAACAAGAGTAGAAAAGTGATTTTCAGAGGTGTGGAGAAAGGACGCAAGGAAGGAGGGAGTCACCAGAATGGAGCCAAGCACTGTGGTTTATAAAGGATATTTAACATGAAAATGTAACTTTGTATTTGGAAAACAAAAAGTGACCTATTGTTTTTTATAATACATACTTTTATAAACAAATTTTTAAAGATTTATTCATGAATTTATATTTATTAAATAAAGGCTTTCTATTTAAAAAAAAAAAAAAGATTTATTCGTGAGCCAGTGCCCATACAGGATGCTGGTGTTGCAGGCACTGTGCTACACCACAACCCAGTCCCTGAAAAAGAATTTTAAGTAAATCTTCTTGGTCAGAGAAGTTGTAAAAAAGCTGTGATCCAGGCTTGGTGTTGGTGAGGCAGCAGGCTAAGCCCCTGCATGGAACGCTGGCATCGCATATTGGACAGCCGATTGGAGTTCTGGCTTCTCCATTTCTGATCCAGCTTCTTGCCATTGTGCCTGGGAAGGCAGTGTAAGATGGCCCAAGTACTTAACTGCTGCCTCCCATGTGGGAGACCAGGACAGGGTTCTAGGCTCCTGGCTTCTTCCTGGCCTAGTCCTGACTGTTGGAGCCATTAGGGGAATGGGCCAGTGTATGATCGTTCTCTCTCTCTCTCTCTCTCTCTCTCTCTGTGTGTGTGTGTGTGCTATCACATCTCCTTTCAAATAAATAAATGTCTTTAAAAAAAAAAAAAAAAAAGCTGCGACTCTCAGCCAGCGGTGTGAGGAAGGACAGACAGCCCCCCACCCCCCTAGGGCTTTTTCAGATTTAGGGGCCAGAAGAGATTTTTATGTTTGTTACTGGATATCGTTGCACGATACCTTGGAGACACCACAGTGAAGAAGAGAGAGGAAGTACAGGATACGGCTGCTGCTCCTGTTCTCTCTTGGGCTCCTAAGTCGCATCCAGATCTGGGCCACTGTGTGTTCAGTCGTGGGCCAAGAGTAACCGCATCAGGTGGCTTGCTATGGCAGGCTGACCACAGAAAGGCCCATCCCCACAGCCTTATTTGGCAGAAGCACCCTGTCATAACTTGAATCAACTGCCTCACAAGGTTTTCAGAAACCTGTCATTTATAAGAAATCAGTTTCATTTCTCCAATCTGAACTTCTTCGTTCCTTTCATTTACTATATACTTCCTTTAAAGGATTTCAGTTGGGTTAGATCTCAAAACGAGGGCTGGAGAAACGAATTCTCAATTGTCATAGGGAAAGGAGAAGTCACACGGCCACAGGCGGTGAGCCCAACATCTTTAGTTGTTTTTTTTTTTTTTTTTTTTTAAGATTTATTTATTTATATGAAAGGCAGACTTACACAGAGAGAGAAGGAGAGGCAGAGAGAGAGAGAGAGAGGTCTTCCATCTGTTGGTTCACTCCCAAATTGGCCACAACGGCCGGAGCTGCGCTGATCCAAAGCCAGGAGCCAGGAGCTTCTTCCAGGTCTCCCACATGGGTGCAGGGGCCCAAGGATTTGGGCCATCTTCTACTGCTTTCTCAAGTCATAGCAGAGAGCTGGATTGGAAGTGGAGCAGCCAGGTATCAAACCGGCATCCATATGGGATGCCAGTGTTTCAGGCCAGGGTGTCAACCCGCTGTGCTACACCACCAGGCCCAACATATGGATTTTCTTATTTCCTACTTATTTTTTTTAATTTTTATTTATTTATTTATCTGACAGGCAGAGTGGACAGTGAGAGAGAGAGACAGAGAGAGAAAGGTCTTCCTTTGCCGTTGGTTCACCCTCCAATGGCCTCCATGGCCGGCGCTCTGCGGCCAGCGCTCCGCGCTGATCCGATGGCAGGAGCCAGGTACTTATCCTGGTCTCCAATGGGGTGCAGGGCCCAAGTACTTGGGCCATCTTCCACTGCACTCCTGGCCACAGCAGAGAGCTGGCCTGGAAGAGGGGCAACCGGGACAGAATCCGGAGCCCCGACTGGGACTAGAACCTGGTGTGCCGGCACCACAAGGTGGAGGATTAGCCTAGTGAGCCGCGGCGCCGGCCTTATTTCCTACTTCTTTTGTCTTAAAATAATAATTTGACCTTTAATGTTTGCTTTAATGACCAAATACCTAATATTATTAAAATAATACCAAATATCTCTCACTCTCTGTCTCTCCCTCTGTCTCTGGAACTCAGTCATTCAAATACATACAATAAATCTTTAAAAAAAAAAAATAGTACCAAATAGAGTAAATAACATCATGTCAGACTCACTATCTCTATATACCACCGGCCTATTTCAGTTTCAGGTTTCCTATGTCCTATCAAATGCTACTTGCGAAATTGGTCATGATTATTAATGAAGAAATTAGAGTCCATCAACCTAAAATACACTCTTTAAATGTCTGTAGTGTGCTAAGCGATGAGAAAGAACCATGGAAACATTGCCTATCCAGTGGAACCTAGTTAACATCAGACACGCCGCTAGATCTAGAAGACATGCAGTCAATGCCTGTGTCACACACTGGTAGGCACAAGGTGGATGTGAGGGACTGGAAATGTGGTCAAAGGAGGTTGCAGGAGTGCAGGTTAGGAAAAGGACTGATGCTCTGTGCTAGGCCGGGGGAAGATGCTGTCTCACTTCCCTAAATGTCTCCTAAATGTGCTAAACTGATTTGAATGTAAAAGACTCAATCAGTTGAAAGTCTGGGTGCTAGATAGCTTTCCATCCTTTGCACTGGGGACCAGAAACAGTGTGCAGAATGCTTTGGAGATGGAGTGGGCTGATTCAACTAATCACCACACAAACAAAACTGACTGTCTGGCCAAACGATGGAGGTAAATAAAAGCAAGACAGCACAGGTGGAAAACCAAGTGTGCCTAAGTAGGAATCCTGCTCATCACACACTTGTGGCCTCCAGAATCTCACTGAACACCTGTCGACCCCTGTTTTCTCATCCGTAAAATGCAGGGAGAGAGCTGCCTTACAGGGGTGTGGAAAGGACCACGTGTGCTAATGTAGGGGAAGTGTGACTGGCTCAGTAAATGTGCCTTTCCCTTCCTCCACAGAAATAGGCGTTAGGATCTTTCCTCCTCACTTTTGAAAGCAACCACCATTACAAAGAAAAGTCAGTGCCTGTTACAACTTGGTGTTTTCCAAATGTTCGCTGTTTCATATCGTCCTTCTCACTAACGTGTGTCTTGGCACAGAGTCAGAATTCATACAAATATTAAAAAGCGCATGTAACACATGTAGTAACTCATCTTATAACTTGATTCTATTTCACAGCTTTCTATGGAAAACACCACAGCGAACTCCAGAGAAATGAAATAATCAAGACACAGTCCCCACCACGTGTGAACTGAGAGTGTGCAAGGAAGGACCTGTGTGAGTACCTGAGACACCAACACTGCTGGTCTGGCGACTGCCCGTCAGCCAGCCTCCAGCCGGAGGAGGTGCTGTGGCTGTGAGTTTGAGCTTCAGAGCCAGTTGCATCATTTTATTGATTGTTTCCTACATACCCAGGCACAGTGGGATTAGTTTGGATTGATTTTCACAGTAGAAATGTCATGGGCCAGTAAAGAGCGCAGCACCCTTTCTTCCTGGTTTGGGGAGTTCATCCCTAAGGTCTGAGGGGTGCTACCTCTGATGTGACCTTGACGCTCATGTTTGGCGTTTGTGATTGACACCTGGGAGTTGCACGCCTCTGGCATCTCTGCCCATGTGGCTATAAAGTAGACTTTTCTGGTTTGGCTCAGCTCCCATTTCACAAGGACACTTTAACCCCAAGTAAAATCACAAAGTGAGCTGTCTTGGGCGGGTCCCTGGTCCGTCCCCTGGAGGAGGGATTTGTGGCCCTTCCCTGCTGACAGAAGGAATAAATCGCTTTCAGTGGGTGCTCTCAATACAGGGAGGAAGGGGCACCTAGCTAGTGCAGGAGGTGCCAGGAGGTAAAAGCTATTGTTCTTAGGTACACAGAATGTTTAAGCCTAATTTTTTTTTTTTTTTGACAGGCAGAGTGGACAGTGACAGAGAGAGAGACAGAGAGAGAAAGGTCTTCCTTTGCCGTTGGTTCACCCTCCAATGGCCGCCGCGGCTAGCGCGCTGTGGCTGGTGCACCGCGCTGATCCGATGGCAGGAGCCAGGTACTTCTCCTGGTCTCCCATGGGGTGCAGGGCCCAAGCACTTGGGCCATCCTCCACTGTACTCCCTGGCCACAGCAGAGAGCTGGCCTGGAAGAGGGGCCACCGGGACAGAATCCAGCGCCCCGACCGGGACTAGAACCCGGTGTGCCGGCGCCGCTAGGGGGAGGATTAGCCTAGTGAGCCATGGCGCCGGCCAAGCCTAAATCTTATACGTCCCTCCACCACTTCCACATATTGAAGAGAAAAAAAAAAGTATGCTTTCTGCTTGACCACAGGGTCAACCACGGCTGCCTGCTTTGCAGAAAATGGGTGACGGGAAGGGTGCAGCCCTGTGCTTGCCACCAGCGCCTGGTGAGGTCAGAAACGCTGATGAGCGCCCTCACCACCACCCCGCCCTGGTCTCCGCCCTCGGGCTGGCCACCAGTTCCGGCCCACACTGCTCCCTCCTGCAGCCTCCGCCAGCTGGAGGAGGCCAGAGGTGTTCACTTCCCTCCAAGAGCCTGCTGGTAGATTTCTAGAATTTGGAAATAAAGTATGCAAATTGCCACCCCCTTCCCCAGCAGTGCCTTCTCTTTCACTGTGGCCTGCTACCTTACCTCCAACAGCTTTTCTTAAGGAAAACTAGTAGATCTGGAATCTAATCACTTTTATCTGACTAACTGCTGTCTAATGGCAAACAAGCATCTAATTCGCACACCGGTTCTTTCTCGTTGATTTCCTTTAGGTTTGAGGGGATAGAAATAGGAAACAAAATCATTCAATAAATATAGTGGAGTTCATCACAAAGTCACTGGAAACGATGAGACGGTATGTTTAACAGGCAGCAGCTGCGATAGCTCGAAGGACAGTTGTGGGGAGCAACTCGGACTAGACTGTTACTGGAATTAAGACTTATTCTATGCATCTGCTTTCCCACAATATGGCGCTGAGAAGGGAGTAACAACTTCTACGCAGCTGCCTCTCGCCAACTTGAGTGATGACCTGCAGGAGCTGATCCTGCTCCTGATTGCAGGAGAGCAGCGTACTCGGCGTGTGGGTAGCAGAGTTGGGATTGGTGGAAGAGGACTATAAAGGAGGAGAGAGACAACATGCACCAGGAACATCTATCTGAAGGAACACCTGTGCAGCCCCCTAGAGAGCCGGCCGGCGGTGTGCCGCTCCCCCGCGGAAGTGGGGAAAGTGGCAAGGGGAACCGCCCTTCCACGGAGGTGGAAGGGTCAGTAGCCAACCCGGGAAGAACCAGCAGCAAACCCGGGGAGGGCCGAGCAGACGAAAGAACAACGCAGGGTCCTGTGTCGTTCCTCCACGAAGACGGGGAGCGACAGACAGTACTTACTAAAGAGAGGGAAGAGAAATAGGACCATAAAAGCAGACAAAATTCCGAGATGTCACAGACTAAAACAGAGTGAACCTTCTTTTCAAAAGCAGAATACAGACAAGCTACTAACAGACAAGAAATAGGGTTCTTTTTGCCTTAGAAATCACATGATCTGGATGATGCCAAAAATCTCTGTTAACATAGGATTTGATTAAGGAAAATGGTATGTTATTTTCTGTGCTTTTATTTTTAACTTTTTTTTATTGTATTTTAGACATGCATACAAACAGAGATCTCCCATCCCCCTGTCATCTGTTCAAGTACCTGTGAGAGCCAGGACTGGGCTAGGCCAAAGCTAGAAGCCAGGAATTCAGTCCTCCTCTCCCTCCCCCTACGCATAGTGGACAGTGAGAGAGACAGAGAGAAAGGTCTTCCCTTGCCGTTGGTTCACCCTCTAATGGCCACCGTGGGCAGCGTGCTGCGGCCGGCGCACTGCGCTGATCCGATGGCAGGAGCCAGGTGCTTATCCTGGTCTCCCATGGGGTGCAGGGCCCAAGTACTTGGACGATCCTCCACTGCACTCCCGGGCCATAGCAGAAAGCTGGCCTGGAAGAGGGGCAACCGGGGAAAGAATCCAGCGCCCCGACCGGGACTAGAACCTGGTGTGCCGGCGCCGCTAGGGGGAGGATTAGCCTAGTGAGCCGAGGCAGCGGCCCCGCATTTGCATTTGAATATGTTTATTCCCTCTCAGCTTAATCAACTCTGTTCCTAGTTGCACATGATATCTGTCTCCACTTGGAGTTTCTGTCTTTGTGGCAGACAAGAACCTGAATCAAAAATTAATATACAAGCCAGCGTTGTGGCTTAGCAGGTAAAATCGCCGCCTGTGACACTGGCATCCCATATGGGCACTAGTTCGTGTCCCAGATACTGCACTTCGAATCTAACTCCCTGCTAAATCACCTGGGAAAGCAGCAGAGGATGACCCCAGTACCTGGGCCCTTACCACGCATATGGGAGACCTGGAAAAAGCAGATGGAAAATTCTCTCCCCCTCTCCCCCTCTCCCCCTCTCTCCCTCTCTTTTTCCCTCTCTAACTCTGACTCTCTAAATAAATATCTAAAAAATTAATAGATTCATTGCCCACATCACGTGCCCTGGTTTAATTTCCATACAGCAACCAGTCCTGGGGCAGGAGCCAGGAAGCCCATCCCGGTCTCTCACCTAGACCCAAGCACTTGAGCTATCACCTGCTGTCTCTCAGGGTATGCATTAGCAGGAAGCTGGATCCCCAGTGATTTCTTACTTGTGCTCTCTGTTGAGACACTGGCGCTTGGTGCTGACATTGCTGCGTTTGGGAACTGAGGGATTTCTCTTGTCTCACAAACCAGAAGTCACACCCTTTCATCAGGCACAGTAGAAACACAAACGCCCCAGGCTATGGTATACAGCTGGGCTTTGTCCCTGAGAAGAAAAAGAAGGAAGCGAGCAGCGAGATTCCTGGGGAGATGGACAGCACACCTAGGAACTGGCTGCACCGCCCGCGGGAGGCTGAGAATCCTCTGGGGAAACGGAAACCACGCTGGGCTGTAATGGACTCTTCCAGGCTGTGAGGTACACCGAGAGTCCACCGGCTCCTGGCCCACCCACAAGACCGTGGGCTGACTGATTGCAGCCCGGGAGGGCTGGGCTGTCTGACTGGCCCCGCAGCTCCTCCGTTCTACACAGGTGCCTGGATTTGTCCTGGATGTTCCTCCTCCTCTGCCATTCCTCCTGCTGCTGCTGAACCTGGCTGTCCTAATCCCACTCCTCCCAGGTTCAGCCCAATCTGGCTCCTCCCCCCTTTCTGACCCCTTCAACGCAAATCAATTTTGAGAAGGCAGTTGCAGAAGCAGTTCTTAGGTTTTTTTTTTTTTAATATTAGTCATATTTATTTGTTTTTTTAATTTTTTATTTATTTTATTTTTTATTTTTGACGGTCAGAGTGGACAGTGAGACAGAGAGGAAGGTCTTCCTTTGCCGTTGGTTCACCCTCCAATGGCCACCGCGGCCGGCGCACCGCGCTGATCCAAAGCCAGGAGCCAGGTGCTTCTCCTGGTCTCCCATGGGGTGCAGGGCCCAAGCACTTGGGCCATCCTCCACTGCACTCCCTGGCCACAGCAGAGAGCTGGACTGGAAGAGGGGCAACCAGGACAGAATCCGGTGCCCCGACCGGGACTAGAACCCGGTGTGCCGGCACCGCTAGGGGGAGGATTAGCCTAGTGAGCCGCGGCGCCGGCCAGTCGTATTTATTTGTAAGAGCAATGAAGACAGAGAGAGCTTCCATCTGCTGGACAAATGCATGTGACAGCCAGGGCAGTGCCAGTCTGAAGTCAGGAACCCCATCTGGGGATCCCACATGCATGGTAGGGACCCAGGTACTTGAGCTGTCTGTCACCTGATGGTGTTAGCTATCCTAGTGTGTGCTTTAGTGGAAAGCTGAAATCAGGAGAGGGGGAGGGAATTGAACCAGGTATTCTTACATGGGGTATGGGCATCCCAATAGCATCTTAACTGCTTTATCAGATGCACCCCCATTTTTATCTTTTATACTGTATGTTCACTATTTTTTCTATGTTTAGATATACAAATACTCACCGTTGTGTTTTAGTTGCCTGTGGTATGCACTGGCATAACCTGCTGCCCAAGTGTGTAGCCCAGTGGCAGTAGGTGAGGCCTTATAGCCTAGGTGTGTAGTATGCTGTTAAGTGCAGACTGTGATGTTTGCACAGCAAAATCACCTACAAATGGCTCAGAAGCTGTCCCAAGGTTCAGTAACCCAAGAGCGGGTTTGGTTCCCTCAGCACTGGCATTCCAGGCAGCCTGCATCCTGAGTTTAAGTCCCAGCTCCACTTCCACTTCCAGCTTCCTGTTAAGGTGTGCCCAAGGAGGCAGCAGGTGATAGTTCAGGTTCCAGGGTCCTTGCCTCCCAGATGAAGGAAAGATCTCTCTCTGTCTTGCAGATAACTAAAAGAAATCAGGCCTATAAGGGTTGTTACCTTGCTTCCTGGGGAACCGGGGAAGTGGGGGCTGTTCCTACAAGCCACAGGCTCCTAGACTGCCTCTCCTGGGAGTACAGATGGAGCAAAAGTGCAGCTTGCCTGTTGCTTTGGTACCCAGGTTTCTGAGACTTCAGCCTGGCGGTTAAGATGTAAACTTCATTTGGGAAAAGTAAGATGATTTAAGGATCATGGGGTTGATTTCATTAGACCTCCCCTCCCCTTCCTCCCCACACATACTCTTGGAGTTGTGCTTCCTTTCAGAGGTGTAAACTGAGTGAATAATATGTTTCCACGATTGTGGGCTGGGGTTGACAGAAGGAGTGACATAGGCAAGTATCCTGTTCCTAGGGTTTTTACTTTTTTAGAGAGCTGTTTTAACAAATCCCAGCTGATGAGGCGATAAGGGTATAAACGGTTAAAGATATGACGTCTTCATTGGCTCACCTAGCCTGTTACATGGTTCAGTCTTGAATGAGGCCTTCTCTTTCTCTCATGGATCTGTCAGTGAGAGCGAGCGAGCGAGCAAGCGCGCAAGATTTTCCATCTACTGGTTCACTCCCCAGATGGCTGCACCCATCTGAAGCTACGAACCAGGAGCTTCATCCGGGTTTCCCACATGGGTGCAGGGGCCTAGGCACTTGGGCGATCTTCTGCTGTCTTCCCAGGCTCCTGAGCAGAGAGCTGGATCAGAAGTGGAGCAGTCAGGACTCAAACCAGTGCCCGTATGGGTTGCTGGCATTGTAGGCAGCTGCATAACCCACTGCGCCACAGCACTGGCCCCAAGAAATATTTCTGTACTCTTTAGAAATGAAGATAATTTACTAGCCAGACAGGAAGCTAATCTTTGTATACTTGGCCCATGTTTCAGATTTTTCAGACAACAACAGACACTGAGGAAGGAGAGATTAAAGCTACTCCCTCCTGGTAGCGAAGAGGCCGACTCTGAGATCACCACAGGCAGCCTGAGATATTCTGGGTTTCTTTCTTTCTCAAGATTTATTTATTTATTTCACAGTCAGAGTTACAGAGAGAAGATGAGGGTAGAGAGAAGTCAGTCTTCCATCTGCTGGTTCACTCCCCAGTTGGCCACAACAGCCAGAGCTTTGCCTATCTGAAGCCAGGAGCCAGTAGCTTCTTCCAGGTCTCCCACGCGGGTGCAGGGGCCCAAGGACTTGGGCCATCTTCTGTTGCTTTCCCAGGCCATAGCGGAGAGCTGGGTTTGAAGAGGAGCAGCCGGGACTCTAACCTGCACCCATATGGGATGCTGGAACTGCAGGCCATGGCTTTACCTGCTAAGCCATAGTGCCGGCCCCTATTCTGGATTTCTATGCAAGCATTTCTACAGTCTCTCTACCTCAAGTGTTGCATTAGCTATATCGTATCCCCTATATCCTACAGCTATTGGGAATGGGCTTAAGACATTTGTGAGAGAAAAAAGTAGGACTTGGAACACAGACAAGCTACTGAAATAGTGACTTCAACAGCTATGTTTACATGTTCATAGTATATGTTAATTATGGTTTTCCAGCTACATATTTAAAAGACTGTAGATAGCATAATTTTTGGATGTGAAGATCAGTGATATCAGAATATTCAAATGTGCCTACACACATACACACATTCCAGACTAGAAAACAATTAATATCCATGGTACAGAATATGATACATTTTGAGATCCTTTTTTAAAAAAAGTAAATGCTAAGGACTGGCATTCAGTGCACCTGTTAAGCTGTCTTTTGTGACACTGGTATCCTGTATCAGAGGGCTCTGATTCTGATCTATCCAGGTCCTGCTTTGTGCCTAGGAATGCTCATAGGATACCCCAAGTTCTTGGGCCCCTGCCACCACATGGGAGACCCAGATGGAATTCCTGGCTCCTAGCTTCAAGTCGGCCCAGTCCTGGCTGTTGTGGGCATTTGGGGAGTGAAACAGTGGATGGAAGATCTCTCTTTTTCTCTGTCTCCCTCTCTTTCTGTTGCTCTGCCTTTTAAATAAATCAATTTTTTTTAAACATTTAAATTCTTTTTAAAAAGCTAATCAGATAAGAAACCTGTCCTGGATTGTATGTGCATAGTAACTACAAGTTGTTTGCATCGTGCATATCCTGCTCTGTGTACAGAGATGTATATGACTCACCCTATAGCTTCCATTGGTCACATACCTGACTGATATCACTGCTCTAGGTCTTAATTTTTTTTTTTAAGTCTTGAAATTAGAAGGTTGGGAACGAACACATCATTGCCATGTGTTGATCACTCAGCTGTGCAAGATAACCAAAACTCACCTTTAGCCACTGTTAAGATTTGGATAATAGTTGGGAAAGTTTGGAAGTTCCCCAGAAGCTAGTGTATTGGAAGGCTTGGTACCCAGAGGTTCATGTTAGTGGTTAATGGATTAAGGCTAATGATTAATAATTTAACATGGAGACTTGTTCTGATTATGCCATCTGGGAGCTGGGCCCACTTGGAGGTCATTAGGTCGTTGGAAGCTCACCCTTGGAAGTCTGTTCTTAGGGGAGGGTTTTTATATGGGCTGAGTTCAGCCCAGCTTTTCTTCCTTCATTTCCTGGCTTACCAAGTTCTCCTCCCTGCACACAAATTCCCCCCTCATCAGATGCCAGACCAATGGGGCCGCCCCATCTTGGGCTGTAAACCTCCCATACTGTAAGCTGGACTAAGCCATCTCCAATCCTGAAGATGTGATAGACCATGTGCTGCCCCCTGTCTGACAACTTCCCAGGGTGCCCACAGAGATGGGTGCTTCCCAGGCCAGTTTGTGCTGGGTGGCTCAGCCCTATCCATCATCAGGGCTCTCTGGTCCAGAGGGTCCTGTCTGCTTGTGCCTCACCTTCTTTCTGAAGTATGAAAACTCCAAAGGGCCACAGTTAATGTGTTTAGAATTATTTGAAGATAAGTTAGTGCAGTGTACTAAAAAATATTTTAATTTGTACAACATGAAGTCTATTAATGTAAATGTTCTTCTTTAGTTTTTGTGAGAGGCAAAGACAAATAGAAAGATAGAGAGAGCTCCCCTTGGCTGGTTCACTCCGCAAATGCCCAAAATAGCCAGGAACTCAGCCCAGGTCTCACATGTGGTAGCAGGAAACCAAATGCTGGGGGCATCACTGCTGCGTCCAAGGGGCTGTCCTGGCAGAAGGTGGAATCCAGAACCAAGGCTGGGAATCAGACTCGGGCAGTCTGATGTGGGAGGTGGTGTCTTTGTAGAAAGGTTTTGGTATTTACTTACTTACTTACTTACTTACTAGAAAGGCAGAGCAACAGAGACAACAAGAGCCAGAGATCTTCCAAATGCTTGTTACTCCCCAGCAGACAAGGCTGGACCAGCCTAAAGCCAGGAGCAAGAACTCCATCTGTGTCTCCCTGATGGGTAGCAGGAATCCAAGCACTTGGGCCATCATCCACTGCCTCCCAGGTACGTTAGCAGGAAGTTGAATCAGAAGTGGAGCCAGCGTGCTGGTGCATGGCACAGCAGGTTAAGCCATGATCTTCAGCACCAGCATCCCATATGGCCAATGGTTGGAGTTCCGTCTATTTCACTTGTGATCCAGCTTTCTGCTAATGTGCCTAGGAGAGCAGTGGAGGATGTCCCAAGTGCTTGGGCCCCTGTACCCACATAGGAGATTGGGAGGACTAGCCCTGGCTGTAGTGACCATTTGGGGAGTGAAGCAGCGGATGGAAGATCTCTCGTCTGTCTCTCTCTCTCTCTCTCTCTCTCTGTCTTTCCTTCTCTCTCTGTAACTTTGACTTTTCATAAATGAATACATCTTTAAAAAAAAATAGTAGAGCCAGGGCTGGATTGCAGGAATTCCTATATGGGACATTGGTATCCCAAGCGGCTTGACCCACTGCACCACAATGCCTGCTTTTTTTTTTTTTTTTTTTGACAGAGTGGACAGTGAGAGAGAGAGAGAGAGAGAGAGAAAGGTCTTCATTTGCTGTTGGTTCACCCTCCAATGGCCGCTGCGGCCGGCACGCTGCGCCAATCCAAAGCCAGGAGCCAGGTACTTCTCCTGGTCTCCCATGGGGTGCAGGGCCCAAGGACTTGGGCCATCCTCCACTGCACTCCCTGGCCACAGCAGAGAGCTGGCCTGGAAGAGGGGCAACCGGGACAGAATCCGGCACCCCGACCGGGACTAGAACCCGGTGTGCCAGTGCTGCAAGGCGGAGGATTAGCCTAGTGAGCCGTGGTGCCGGCCCAATGCCTGCTCTTTAACTGGCATCTTAACCCCTTTTGTTTTTAGTTTTTTTTTTTTTTTTTGAATAAAAAACTATTACTTCATTTCAGAATTCTAGCAAGACGTAGAAACCTGTCTGTAAAACATCACTGATGTCAAATGAGAGTTTTCCTCTTTGGTCAAGCTTCAGATGTGAATGCTCTTGGTGACCCACTCTGGAAGTAAAAGTCCTAAGTCATTATATATATGACAGTGATTTAAAAAAAAAAGTGAAATGGAAACAGCAGGAAGTAGAGCAGAGCTGTTAGCAATGCACACAGTCACAGCTGCACCACAGAGAGTGCAGTATCCTGTTCTGCCACATCCGCTGGGCAGGCCTGCATTGTTTCAGAGATGTAGTAAGCTCTGGAAGAAGTTAATAGGTGCTTATTGTGTAGTGTGGGGGTGGGTGGCATCATTAAGTTCATAGTCTCTAATTCTTCTCAAGTTCAGGTCGAAGTAATCATTTTGGTTTTGTTTAATATTCAGGGTGTGTTTCAATTAAACTGAAGTCACAGTGAGCACCTCTCATTTCTTCTTCAGGATCTCTATCGTGAAACTTAATTGTATGGTTTTGTCCCTCTTAACCAACCCCCCTCCCCCTGGAAGCAGCAGTACTGGTACTGGCTGAACCTGAAAATCTCCATCCAGGACACAAGTGGTGTCATGGGATTTGTCTGATCTCCTATGTGTCCCAAAATAAGTAGCCTGACATTGATGGCACATTGAGTAAGATGTGGCATGTGACATGGAAAGGAATTTTTACCTGTATCCACGTAGAAGACCTTTCATTGGTTTCACCTGCCTCCACCAGCTGCCACTTGGACTCATGTATCCCGTTTGGGAAGGTGAGTCTGAGCCCTGGCCGCTCTGCTTCCGATCCAACTGCTGCTAGCGCATCCCGGGAGGCAGCAGATGATGACTTGAGTGTTTGGGTTTTTGCCTCGCATGCAGAATACCCAGATGGAATTCAGGGCTCCTGGCTTTTGCCTGGCAGAGTCCTGGCTGTTGTGGACATCTGAGGCATGAATGGGCAGTTAGTAAATCTCTCTCCTTCTCTCTCTTTGCTGCCTATGTAGGTGAAGCAGTTTTTTAAAAATGAGAGTTTCAAGTATCTCTTAGAAACCTACTGTTAGCGGATAAGCCCTGTGGACAAGCCGTGAGGCTGTGAGGACTGGGTCAGGTGGGGAACTGGAGATTACTCCCTGTTAGCTCCCATGTGTGATCAAGCTATCCAAGAGAGCACCATCCAGGGAGGTGTGTCCAGAGTTATTGGCATAGGCTGGTGGAGGTAGGTATTAGAACGGAGTCAGACAGCCAGCAAAGATAAGAATAAGGAATGTGCAATTAGGGCAGAGGGGAAAAGTCACTCCTGGATCTACTTCAGAGGCTTCTGTGATTTCCTAAATCCAAGCCTTACATTCTGACAGCGTGGAATGTTTCAGGATGCGACACACAGGAGGGAAAAAGGTTTTCAAGACAGTTCAGGTCAATATCAGGAAACGTGGGATAGACCTGAGCAGAGACACATGGCTCAGATAGATAAGCCAAAAAAAGAATTAGATTCAATTATTCAGGAGAGCCAATTGAATCAGTCTTTTTTTTTTTTTTTCACAGACAGAGTGGACAGTGAGAGAGAGACAGGGAGAAAGGTCTTCCTTTACCGTTGGTTCACCCTCCAATGGCTGCTGTGGCCGGCATGCTGCGCCGATCCGAAGCCAGGAGCCAGGTGCTTTTCCTGGTCCTTCATGCAGGTACAGGGCCCAAGCACTTGGGCCATCCTCCACTGCACTCCCTGGCCATAACAGAGAGCTGGACTGGAAGAGGGGCAACCAAGACAGAATCCGGCGCCCCAACTGGGACTAGAACCCGGGGTACCGGCACCGCAGGTGGAGGATTAGACTATTGAGCCATGGTGTCGCCCCTCCCCCCTTTTTAAAAAAATATTTTATTTATTCTTTGTTTTTAAAAAAATATTTATTTATTTATTTATTTAAAAGTCAGAGTTACACAGAGAGAGGAGAGACAGAGAAAGAGAGAGGTCTTCCATCTGATGGTTTTACTCTCCAATTGGCTGCAACGGCCGGAGCTGTGCTGATCCGAAGCCAGGAGCTTCTTCTGGGTCTCCCATGCAGGTGCTAGGGCCCAAGGACTTGGGCTATCCTCTACCACTTTACCAGGCCATGGCAGATAGCTGGATCGTAAGTGGAGCAGCCGGGTCTCGAACTGGCGCCCATATGGGATGCCAGCGCTTCAGGCCATAGTGCCAGCCCCCAATTTTATTTATTTATGTGAGAGGTGGAGTCACAGATGGAGAGAGGGAGAGACAGAGGAGTCTTTCATCTACTGATTCACTCCCTAAATGGCTACAATGTCCAAAACTGGGCCAATCTGAAGCCAGGAACCAGGAGTTTCTTCCAGGTCTCCCACGTGGGTGCAAGGGCCCAAGAACTCGGGCCATCTGCTGCTGCTTTCCCAGGCCATAGCAGAGAGCTGGATTGGACAAGGAGTAGCTGGGCCACGAACCACTGCCCATTAGGGATACCAGCACTGCAGGCAGAGGCTTAGCCTACTACCTCATAGCGCCAGCCCCAAATCAGTAACTTCTAAAAGTTTCAGTTAATGGTGTTTACACAACTGAAAACTATTGAGCTCAACTCGACAGCTGCTGTTCAGGATTAAAGCAGTGGAGATGGGGCCAGTGCTGTAGTGCTGTGGATTAAAGCCCTGGCCTTCTGCGCCTATGGGCACCAGTTCTAGTCCCAGCTGCTCCTCTTCTGATCCAGTTCTCTGCTATGGTCTGGGAAAGATGCTATGGTCTGGAAGATGGCCCAAGTCCTTGGGCCCCTGCACCCACGTGGGAGACCTGGAAGAAGCTCTTGGCTCCTGGCTCCTGGCTTCAGATCAGCGTAGCTCCAGCCGTTGTGGCCATCTGGGGAACGAACCAGCAGATGGAAGACACCCTCCCCCCCCACCTCTCCTTCTCTCTCTGTGTAACTTTGACTTTCAAGTAAATAAATAAATCTTTTTTTTTAAAAAAAAACAGTGGATATACTTCATATCTACATTTAAGCGATAACTAATATATTGATTGTATCCTTAAAAATACTTTTTAAACATTTATTTATTTATTTGAAATGTAGACTGACAAACAGAGAGGGAGAGGCAGACTGAGAGAGGTTCTCTTCCCAAAAGCCCACAACAGCTGGTGATAGGCGAAGCTGAAACCAGGAGCCAGGAACTCCATCTGGGTTTGCCACATGTGGGCAGGAACCCAGGTACTTGGGCCATCTTCTGCCGACTCCCGGGCAAACTAGCAGAAAACTGGATCAGAAGCATGGAGCAGCAGGGACTTAACCAAGGCATTTTGCTATGCCATGCAGGGACCCCACGTGGTGGCTAAACATACTGTGCCGCAATACCCACCTCCTTAAAAATATTTTATCCTGCCTTGTGATCATCCTTGATGGTATATAACTTTCTTAAATTTCAAAAAAAATCAGCTAATTTTTGTTTTGTGAAAGTACACACCTGTATAAAACTATGTAGGCAGGATGTCTTGGTTGTTATAGTTTGCATTCCCAAAGGTCCCCACACCCAAAAGGGAGTGCCTACTGCACCATTCAGTGGGTACCTGGTAAATGCGCAAAGAGAAGGTCTCCAGCATCCTCGGGGCATGACAAACCCTCCCAGGGACATGTCCGCGCTGATCGCTTTGACACTTTGCTTTGGCAGATTGGAACTTGTGTGTTTCCAGCAGGAGCAATATGACTCAACCGCTTAAAGGGAGGCCAGAAGATTTCCAAAACTGAAACAAAAAGTCTCATCTGCAGAAACAGATCTACAGGATAATCTTTTGTTCTGAAACAGAAGAGGGATGTCTTCAGAGAGCCATGCGGGTGTGGCATTCACAGCAAGATCCCTCAGATACAGCCAGTAGTGTGTCATCTGCCCCAGGGAAGGATCAGGCCTGAGTGCAAATACCAGGCTGTGCCGTGTGGACGCTGGACAGTCCTGACATCCAGTGAACGCTCTGGAAGGATATTAGGTGGGTTTCACACTTCTAAGCATCTGGAAGCCTTTTAGCTATTTGACCAACTCCACTTAGGTGGGATGTTTAATGGAATCACCCAAAGCGAACCCAGCAACAAAACAGGCAGGTTAAGGTGCTGAGCTAGCAGTAGTACCAACTCATCACAGCCCTTCAGAAATAGGTTATTGATTCTAAACTCCAAAGACACAGTCTTTTCTGTTCCAGGAATGCCTGGAATTTCCAGAAAGGATGAGCGAACTGCATCTGGAATACATTAAAATCACAGTTGTACACATTGTTTCCAAGGGTGTATGTTATGAGCTGTATCTTTCTCAGACTCCCATCCAAAAGACACTTATATTTGCAGGTCAAATCAGTTTGCCTTGAGGAGAAAAAAATTGATGAACTAGCCAGGGAACCTAATTGCTCTCTGCTTAACGAAACCAGTTTTTGAAAATGTTAAGAGAAACACAGTGAAAACTGCAACCGTGAAGAGAATCTGGTCCTGCCGTGGGAATGAACGGGAGTTCCAGAGCTCACCCTTCCCTGGATTTCTATCCCATCAGGGTGCTACCTCAGAGTGCTGTGCTCGGCACCGCAGGGGCGGGAATCTCGGCGGCCATAAACATGGCAGAAACACACGTGTCAGCCAGCCTCAGCCTGGAGCCAAGACAACACAGTAATCCACTTGGACAGCCGAGCGGGTGAGACGGGGTCAGACGTACACAGCACACCCACCACCTGGCAAGCCCAGGCACGGGGCTGAGTGACACAGGCACTGTGACTGCTTGCCTAAGGCTGAAAGACTCAAGGATCCAACCTCTGATACTGTAACTTCACTGAATGTTTGCCAGACTGAATGCATTTCCTAAATTCCTGCAGGCGGGCGACAGTTTGCAGCTGAAATGAAACGTTTTGTGTTTTAAAAACCTATTACAATTTTAGGTTGCTCCTGGTTTACATTCCATTTATCCAATAAGTATTTATCCAGTGCCTCCTGCGTATGTGAGCTTTCTTATGGTTAAGCAAACAGGAAAGAGAGCTGCCCGTGCTGGACATACTGTTTCCTTCCAAGTGAACAAATTCCCAAAGGAGCCGGGAGTTTGGAGTGGACATTTTCTGTGGCAGCTGCCAGCTGCAGGGAACAAAAGTGCCATAGCCCTCTGGTGACAGATGGATGTGGCAGCTCGGGCTCAGGAAAAAAAAATAGCTTATGGACCAGCAGCACAAAAAGTCCAAACATCTTGAACTAGTTACACAATGTTTAAGGTATGACATAGTGGAATAGTGTAATTTGAATGGAGCGCTTCTGCGCTGCTAAAGTACTACAGACCAGAAAATGAAACTCCAGTTATGAACTGGGTCAGTGTCTTCCTACCTCGAGGTCAGTAGCCAGCATGCTTTGTGCTGCAAGGGGAAATAGTCTGAGTGGATGGGTTTGTGCAGCTGGAAGATTGAGGGTGGGGCTGGTTTCAGGATGACAGAAGCAGGGTCTCGAAGGCTGCTGCCCTGTCTTTCCATTTCTCGGGTTGCTCTAGATCTCCTCTTTTCCCCAAAGGTGGGCTGTTTGCACAGGGCAGGGGGAATTAGGAGACAGCGTCCCCCACTCAGCATTGTCGCCATGACCATAACGCAGAGAGCAAAGCACTCTCTCTACCACCACTAAAGGTGGGTCCTGGGGTCGGGTGAGGGAGTTCCAAATGCCCTGACTTTGGTTCCATGCCCATGCCAGGAACAATTCCTAAAGCCCTGTCAATAGGAAATTAGGAAAGTCTGCAGTGTCATGTGCCCAAGACTGAGCAGGGTCCTGGGCTAGGGGCCTCAGCAGTCTCCTGATTGTATTGCTGTGGGAGAGAAGTAGTTCACCTAAGGAAGGAGAACTCTGCAAACAAACCCCAAAGACAAGGCTGAAGATCTCAACCCCTTACTTTCTAAAAAATGCACCTTCGTCCCAGTGCAGCTCTGCTCCCTCGCGCTCGTGAGTGATGGGACTTTCGTGGTTGTGTTTCTAGCTCAGAGCACACATCACGGCCACCTGTGCTGCTGAAACTCGGGTTTCTGGGCCACACCCAGAGTTTGACTTGGGAGGAACGCTTCCACCTCACGCGTGTGCTCTTGGTCTGAGCACTACATGTCCAGAGCCGCTAATCTGGGATTTTGTTTCTTAACATTCTCCATAGATTCCTTATCCCAATGACACCCAGTCCTGGATGTATTTCACAAGTAAATGATGTCAATTCATCCAGTGCTAATTAACTTGGTGATTTATAGCAAGTCACTGAACCATGCTGTCAGTTTTTAATGGGCCTTTTATTAGAGATTAAGTGAATGTGAATTAATACGTGGAATGCACCGAGAAGAGTTCCTGGGACATAGTATATAACATGTAAGCGTTTGCAGGTATATACTGCTCTGGAGAAAACTTTACGACTTCAGCAGGATTTGCTCACTAAACTCATGCAAATGGTTAAATCCCAACGTCTTTTACTAGTGATTGAAGGATTCACATTCAAGGTTGATGGATGAAGAGTAGAGACCCTATCTACGTATGCCCTCTGGGTGGTGGGCCTAGAGGGAGGTGTTTGGGTCCCTGGGAGCTTGCTCTTGGACCGTGGTTCTCTCCAAGGGTTGGATATGTAAGCAGAACATGCTTCCACTCTCTGTCTGCTTCCAGGCTCACATGCGATCGTCTCTCTGCCGTCCTCCAGCCTCACGGGTTTCCTAGATCAAAGAGGCTGCCCCACCTTGGACTGTGAACATTCAAAAGGTAAGCTGAAGTTACTTTGCTTCCTTCCTAAGTAATCGCTCTCAGGTTTCCAAAAGCTACATTGGTTTCCTTTTATTTGAAAGGAGAGAGAAGGCGAAATCACCCATCTCCTGGTTCTCTCTCCAAATGCCCACAAGAGCCCAGGCTGGGCCATGCTAAAGCCAGGAACCCAGAACTCAGTCTGGGTCTCACCCATGGATCGCAGGGACCCAGTGATATGAGTCGTCATTTGCTGTTTGCCAGGATGCAGGTTTGCAGGAAGCGGGAATCAGATGCAGAGCCAGGCACTCCTCAGTTGGTATCCCCAGTGGCATGGTAATCTCTTCCCCAATTTCCTGCCTCCTCTCAGATATTTTAAAACAATGAAAAGTAACAGTATCCTGTGGGTACGTGGGCCAGGTGAGCTCATGTATTTGTAAACCTAAGATCTCTGGATGCTTCCCGGTTACTGGAACATGCAAAGCTGCTAGGCCTCAAGGGAACATCCACTTTGACCATGCCCTGACTTTCTTCTTCACGTCTGGCTGAGTTTGTGTCCTCAGCTCTTCCAAGATTCCGTGAGCCCTGACATAGCCTTCCAAAATGTTCTTCCTTAAGTCCTTCAGGATTGTTTCTCATGCTTGAAACCAAGAAATCTACAGTGCAAGACAAATATCTTGTTGAACTGATTTTTTAAAAGGTTTGTTTATTTGTTTGAAAGGCAAAGTTACAGAGAGACCGAGGCAGGGAGAGAGAGAGGTCTTCCATCCACTGGTTCACGCCCCAGATGGCCACAACAGCTGAAGCTGTGCCAGTCAGAAGCCAGGAGCTTCCTCCTGGTCTCCTGCACAGGCGCAGGGCTGCAAGGACTTGGGCCATCTTCTGCTTTCCCTCCCACAGGAGTCTCTGGGGCTTTATCAGGAGACGGTTGCAGGGTCCAGCTTGTATTTCTCCAGAGCCAGGCTGAGTGGCCAGCGAAATCCCAGAGTCAAGCTGGGCGGGGTGAGGGAAGGTGCCACTCACCCAACCAAAAGGGCTGCACCAGCGGGTCCTGAGGCCTCCTCCACAGAGGCTGCACACTGCTCCTGGCCTTGTCTCAGTCAGGGCCGGGAACAAATGTTTGTGTGTAAAGGGAAGAAAATTCGCCCCTGGCCTCTGGAGACCAAGCTGCCTCTTTTTCTCTTCCCTTCTTGCTCCTCCCTTCCTCCTGGTTCCCATCCTCTGCTCTCTGCTCTCTCTTACTTTCTCTCTCTCCTTGTGTTGGACCATAGCATCTACGCTTTCTAATTGTGGGGAGGCCCTGGACTAGCCGGGAAGAAGTCGGGCAGGTGCTTTGCAGGAACAGATGGGGGTTTTCGGGCACGGCTCTGAAGCAGCTCGTGGTGGAGGCCTCGTACTCAGAATTAAGAGGACACGTGGAGGAAGACCGTTCAGCATGAGGAGCTGGACCCCAGTGTCCTGAGAGCAACAGGCAGCAGCTTCGGGCAAGACATGAAAAGTTAGAGGTCTGCGGTGGCCAGGGAGGTCGGTGAGCTGGAGCGCCACAGTGCCCCATGCGCTCGCGTGTGCTGCTTCTCTGCCAGTGATTAAATTCTAGCTTCCAAGCCCTTCAGTGAAAATCCATAATGCATGAATGTTTACACATGTGGGCTTTTTGGGCTTGTGTTCCTGCTGGAAGCAAAGGAATGGGGAGAACAAACATGGAAGGCCCAGGGTGCCCCTTGAAACGGAAAAGCACCTTGGGGCTGGCATTGTGACACAGTGAGTTCAGCTGCTGCCTGTGATGCCAGCACCCGATGTGTAAATGAGTCCTGGCTGTTCCACTTGGGATCCAGCTCCCTGCTCATGTGCCCGGGAGGCAGCAGATCACGGCCCAACTACTTGGTTCTCTGCCTTCTATGTGGGAGACCTGGACTGAGTTCAGAGCTCCTGGCACCTCTGGCTGTTGAGGGCATTTGGGGAGTGAATCAGCAAATGGAAGATTCCACACCCCGCCCCCTCCACCGCCACCAAAAAAAAAAGGCACCTTGAGGAATTCCTAACACAATTAGAGAGGAGGGCCCTGGGGATGGACGCTGGACTTGCAGATAACCTGAGGACGCACAGGTGGGAGACGCTGCCTGCATCCCTGATGATCATACAGGATCCTTGGGGTCCATTTTGAAGAAAACAGAGAGTTCATTGCATTGCTCTGAAACCGTGGCGTCTTGACGCTGGACAGTGCAGATGCTTCGGAGGATGGTCTCGTTAAAGACACACCCAGCATTTATGCCTCCTCAGAAGCCGCCCAGCCTGTTGGACCAGATCTAGAGACCAGGTTTCACTGATTTCTGAAATGCCATTCTGCATTTGGAAAACAGGAGCCAAGTGGTGTTTTGAGAATGGAACCTCCCTTTGTTTCTCTATAGTGTTCGACCCTTGATCTAGGTTCTTCACCCTAAGCATCTTCCACAAAACGTGCTTCAGAAATTTAAGGGCGGCCAGACTAACTGAGATGGCTCTTTTCAAAGCTGCCTGTGTTCAGATGACTTTGTTCTACTGTTCCTTGAATAACCTGTGCGCGCCAAGCCCCTTCCCCCGCCCGATTTCTCCCCACGAGTACTTTGCAGTTGTGTCTTCTCCAGGCTTCTGAGGGGAGTGAGCGCACTCCCACATTTGACTTTTCTGGAATGCGGTTCACACTGGCTTTTAAAATCTCGCTTTCATTTTTTGAGTAGAAAGCTCAAAATGGGCGTGTACTGATTGAGCTGCTGGTGTGCTGGTTGCATCCCCTAAATCATTTGCACATGAGGTGTAGCTACACCCAGCTTTGGCTTTGCTCCAGGCAGCTGCTGGACTCTTATGAGAGTATCACATGCCCTTAGGAGCATACTCTAGGAACAGAGAAACAGTTCATCCAGTACTGTTATACTGTGTTTCCAGAGCCGAGGCAGGCCACCGCTTCCAGTTGCAAGCTGTATCTTCTCACGAAGGGATGACTAGGTATCTCCGAATGTCAGAGAAGGTGCCAGATGATCTGTCATAGCAAATATGCTTTGCTATGATGTTTAGAAAACCTTATGGGATTTTTCGGAGGACTAAATTGTCACCCTTTCATTGAGGTTTAGCTTGTGTAATTACTTACAACTGAGAAATGAATATCACACAAGAAAAGGGCCAAGTCTAAGATAACAGGACTTGGAACAGGCTGTGCGTGCATATCTGGCACAGGATGAAGAGGTTGTCCAAGTTTTACAAACATATGAGATTCTACGCTTTTAAAGAAATATATGTATTCGGTCATTTAAGAAAGTTGACAGGGGTGGGTGCTGTGGCACAGCCAGCTAAGCTATGCCGTGGAGTTCCCACACCCCACATTGGAGTGCCTGGTTCCAGTCCCAGCATCCCTGCTTCCCGTCCAGCATCCTGCTTCTATGCCTGAGGGGCAGCAAGTGATGGCTGAAGTCCTCGAGCCCCTGTTTACCATGTGGGAGACCCAGATGGAATTCCTGGCTCATGGCTTTGGCCTGGCTCAGCCCCAGCTAATATGGGCATTTGGGGAGTGAACAGCAGATGGAAGATAGTTCTGTTTCTCTTTTTGCCACTCAAACTTGCAAGTGGATGAAAAAAAATTAAAAAACATTAAAAGAAAGGTTTCTTAAAATCTTATAAATAATTCAGCAGAAACTAGCTTATTAGCTCAAAACAAATTACTTCATACTTCATCATTCTTTGGAACTGCAAGTATTTTAAATCACATTTGGAATCGCATGGATTGTAACCTTATTCAACATGTAATGCTAAAAAGAGAAGAGTGAGGAATACTTTTCAGCCAACTTGGTATTTACATACTTGAAATAGTTCATTTTTTAAAAGCCAAGAAATGAAAGAGTTTCAAAAAATACAGAATCGGAGTATGAAAACTATTAATATTAAAGAAGTTATTCTGGTGGAAGAGAAAAGCGAAAGGACCCTTGTGTCAGTCACCACGGAGCAGACGGCCATGGCTACATCTGAGGCTGGCCTTCCTGTCCACCTTACCCAGAGGCCACTCCTGGGTGAGAGTCTGGAGGTGGAGTTTGCAGAGAGGCAGCCATGGGTGACATGGGGAGCTGGGAAGGAAATACGATCCCCACCAGCCTTTGCTGTGCTTGGTCCTGCTGCACTTCTGGACCCATCCCTGTTGTGAATGCAGCTGCAGGTGCCCGCCCTTACTCCCAGCCCAGGCCCAGCGGGCGCCCTGGCACCTGGTTGGCCCAGTCTTGCTGCGGTGAGCACTGTCCGGCCTGGGAAGGGCCAGCTAAGCATGAGTCTGGGGGTCTGAGCGGTGGAAAACCCTTGCTGGGGTTGGGGTTGTCAGTCCTGACAGAGGAGCCCTGTGTGGTGCGCTGACCACTCTGGTGTCAGGTGGTGGAGAGGGGAGAGAGCCAGCACACAGGGACACTTCAGAAGGCCTCTGGGAGCTGGCCTGCCGCTGACACTGGGCTTGCTGCTGCCCAACACAGATGCTCCCCCTCCAAGCGCTCTTCTTCCTGTGTGGTCCTCTCCTCCTCCCATTTCCTCCTGTAGAATATTTTTAAATTGCTATTGACGTATTTATTGGAAAGGCAGTTGGTGGGGGGAGTCTTCTTCCTGCTGATTTGGTCCCTAAGTGCCAAAGCCAGGGGCCACGAGCTCCATCCAGGTCTCCCATACTGGTGGCAGGGACCCAGGTACTTGAGTTATTATCTGCTGCTTCCAGAGCGTGCATTACCAGGAAGCTGGATCAGAAGCAGGGCCGAGATGCAAACCCAGGGTCTCTGATATGAGATGCAGGCATCCCAAGCAGCATCTAAAGGGCTGCTCTAAACACCTGTGCTTCCAGTAGTACATTCATTTGGCATCTAAATTCTTACGTGGCTTTATCACTTCAACCTGTGAATCCTGGAACCCTTCCTGTACAACCAAGTGTACCTTATGCCTAGCTCTCTGGGAGAGGCCCTCAATGTATGTGCAGAGCACAGGGTGAGTGGGAAGGGCTGGAGATCACATGTTGTTTATCC